CAGAGAGCAGAAGCAAGGGGGAGCAGCAGAGGGAGAGGGAGAAGCAGGCTCCCCGCTGAGCAGGGAGCCCGATGTGGGACTCAATCCCAGGACCCTGGGATCATGACCTGAGCCAAAGGCAGACACTTAACCAACTGAGCCACCCAGGCACCCCGGAGAATGCAACTCTTAAGCTCAGGGTTGTGAGTTCAAGCCCCACATTGGGTGTGGAGCCTACTTAAAAAAAAAAAAAAGGCATTTGGTATATAGCAACTTAAAAAATGAAGCACCTTATTTAAACATTTTTTTGTTTGTTAACTGCCTTCTGTCAGCATTTTAAAAAGCTAGCTATCACACTAGAATTTTTGAGCTTGTCCTCATTAATTTGATACACTTATGTTTTCTGGTTGTTTGGTTTTTTTTTTTTTTTTTAAGGAGGCTCCACTCCACGCTGGGCTTGGAGTTCAGACCCTGAGTTGGGGTTTGAACTCATGACCCTGAGATCAACTGAGATCAAGAGTCGATGCTCAATTGGCTGAGCCACCCAGGCGCCCCATGTCACATTCATTGTTAAATCATAATATATAAAGAAATACCTTCTAAGTAGGAATAAGAAAATGTGAAATTTTAATGGGAGGGAGAAAATACGTGACATTAGTTATCTCTCCTATGTAGCCTAATTAAGCAGGCAGTATAATTTTACTTCAAGCTAAGCAAAGCGCTTAAATTCAGGTTGGCCCCCAGTGTCAAAACAGGTGCATATCTGCCCAGGTACTGAATTGTGGATAAAGAAAGTGAACATTGTATTTCTCTCTGGGTTGCTTGTAGGATGTGGATCTGGACCGCCAGTCTCTAAGCAGCATAGATAAAAATGCCTCTGAGAGAGGCCAGAGCCAACTCTCTAACCCAACCGATGACAGCTGGAAAGGTAGACCATATGCAAGTAAGGCCGCTTTTTTTAGTTGTTTTCATTTATTTATTTTAAATAGGTAACACGCTTACGTATTCAAATATTCAGAAGGTACAAAAGGTGAACATGATAAGCCTTTCTTCCACCCCGTGCCTCAGTCTGCCAGTCCCTTCTTTGTGGCAGCTTGTGTCACCAGTTTCTTGTGTGCATTTCCGACTGTTATCCGTATGCAAGAAAGAGCATAATATACATAAACACATGTGCGTGTGCGCGCATGAATTCCCCTGTCCTTTTTATACAAATTACAGAATACTATGTGTATTCTTTTTTCCCTTAGTGTATTTTTGAGACCATTCAAAATCAGTACCTAAAAAGCTTTCACATTCTTTTATACTATTTATTATATGTCATCCCAGGATATAGATGTACTATTACTTGCTTAATTGGGTTCCTACTAATGGACGTTTGTATTATTCCCCATCTTTTTCTGTTACAAACAGTACTACATTGAATCACCTAATAATGTGTGTCATTCACGAGTTTATCTATATAATAAATTCCTAGCAGTAGGACTGCTGGGTGAAGTGCACTTGCCATTTTGACAGATAATTACAGATTCCTGTTTACATGATCCTCAGGAACACATAGGTGATACTTCCTATCTTTGGAGTAGTTTTAATTTGCAGTTTTCTAATTATGAGTGAAACTGAGAAGTTTTTCATGTGTTTAAGAACCTTTCTATTTTTTCATCATCTCTTCAAATCGTTCCTCATTTTATATTGGCTGTTAGTCTTTTTATTGGTTTGGAGGAGCTTTTCATGTGTTAGAGATCCCTTTTCTCTTTTATCAGTTGGTCAGTGTTACTTGTGGTCATGTTTTACTGTCACTTTAAAAAACAGGTTTAACAGTCACTATGAGGCAGGCAGTGCACTGTGTGTTTCATGTGTGTGATCTCGTGTAATCATCCCTCTAGCCCTTTGAGGAGGTACTGTTTACATTTGCATGTACTGGGACCGAGGCGGATAACGTGACTTGCCACTGTGCAGTAGAGTTGGGATTCAGACACACTTTTAGCTGACTGAGAGACTGGAACATTCCTGGTTTTGTGGTCTGGTCTCTTTCCAGCTGTGGCCCTATTGTTTTTCTTCAGACACGCCAGGCTTTTGGTGTCGACACTGCCGTTAACTTTTGAAGCAGTGTATTAGACACAGCCACGTGTGGCCACCAACTATCTTTGAAGGCATAAAACATAACCACCCTTGGAATCCATTAAAAAGGCACCATGTTGGACGCTCACACGCCGTTCCTCAGTATCTGCAGCATAACCAGGGTCTCTGCAGGGGCCAGTGAGCAAGGTCTGCTGCCTCATCAGCTCCAGATAAAGGTTTGGCTTGTGTGGGAGTGTACACGTACAGTTCTTTAAATAGAGCCACTCTTGGTGCAGCAAGAGGTTTGTGCTCTGAGAGGGGCCTGGAACTTGAGACCCCTGCCCTTCCTCCTGGGAGCATGCTCCCACTTGCCCAGAGCAGCCCGCCCTGTGGGCATCAGCTCAGTGAGTGGGCAGTAGGCACATTCGCACACCACTTGGACTGTTTCTTCCCTTGTCATTTGTGGTCCAAGGTGACGTCACTAAATTGGCATAAATTAAATGTACATGTGCTGCAACTCCACCATATTCTTTAATTAAAACATTCTACATGGAGAATTTATATAAATTCACACACAGACACACACAAAATTTCACAGTCACTTTCCAAAACTTGAAGATGATCCATCCTCCTTGTTTGCCATCACTAAACACTTCATCTAATGATTTCAACATTCTGATTCTATAACAATAAGTTGCAAAAGGAATCTCTACTTTCATTATAGTCAAATCAGTCACCAGTGAAGTGCCCAACACGGGCTGCCGCCCCTGCACCCAGGGAGTGAGAAGACAAAGATGGAGGGAAGAGATATTAGCCAGAGTCTAGTCAGTAGGCAGAAATCACACCAATAATTTGAACAGAGAAGATTCTTGAGGGAAACAGAAGCAGATACACCTCCAGAGCAGACAGAAAGCGATTCGGAACTAAGAACGGAAAAGAGCCCCATCCCCTCAAGACTGACAGCCAACCACTTTGGAGAGTCTGGCTGCTGCAGGAACCTGGGCCTGGAGTGCTTAGGGCACAGTCCGGAGCTGTCTGTAGGAGTCCCTGCAGGTGGCAGAGAAGCTTGTTGGAAGATAGGGTCCCTGCATAGCTGACTCCTCCCCTCAGGTCTTTGCTCAGGTATCACATTTGCAGAGAGCCCTTTCCTGACCAGCTTGTTTAAACTTGCAACCCCACCCCGACACCATCTCTACCTCATCCCTATTCTTACCTTTGTCATCGTCATTTGACATATTGTACCTTAGACTTAAATATCCTGTTTATTGTCTGTCTCTGCCATGGGGTTTTTGTCCAGCTTATTCACTCTTCTGCCACAGCATCAAGAACCGTGCCTGAAACATAGTAGGAGCTCTGGGAATACTTAATTCAACACTGGCTGAATCATTATTAGGGTTAATCTTTATCATCTAATATAGATCAGAAACTGTTTGCCAGCCTCCTCATCAAGTGTGTGGTCCAGTTGGAATTGATACAGACCATCGACAACATCGTGTTCTACCCTGCAACAAGCAAAAAGGAAGATGCAGAACACATGGTTGCTGCCCAGGTAATAAGACCAGCTTCGAGAAGGACGTCCTTTTGTGCGGGGACGTTGCTCAGATACAGTGCTGTGCTGGAGCCAGCTTGAAGTGGCACGCAGCTCCCCAGCCCTTCCTCCAGTCATGGCATATTGGTGGCTTGAGAAATTGGCTGTGATATTTATACCACGGAAATCAGCAAACACTAAAAATCAGGGCTTTTTTTTCTTTTTTCTTTTCTTTAAATTTCCCAGAAAGCCAATTTACCAGCATCCTACTGTTGGCATGCCAGCCCCACCTTGGGTGCTTTGGAAAAAGAGTGTTATTAATCAGGGGGATTATCCCTCATAATTGGTGTACAATTTAACCATAAATAACAGAAAACTATATGGATAAAGATACCAGTTTTTCCTTTAAAGTTTACTTTGTACGTACAGCCTTTTGTTATGTTATTCTTGGAGACGGAGGATTGAGTATCCAAAAGTTGGGCAGTAACATTACACCATAGGTTGTAAATGTAAGTGCTTCAGGGGCTAGCAGATCCTGTGAATGAGTGTTCAGATTTTTGTATATTCACAAGAGTTGTGCAAACCTCACCCCTGTTTAATTCCAGAATATTTTTATCATTGCCAAAGTGAATGCCCTCATAATTAGCAGTCACTCCCCCTTCCCTCTTCAGCCCAGCCCTTGACAACCACTAATCTACTTTCCGTCTCTATGGATTTGCCTAATCTGGATATTTCATATTTAATAGAATCATATAATATGTGAGCTTTTGTGTCTGGCTTCTTTCACTTAGCATAATGTTTTCCAAGTTCATCCACACTGTAGCCTGTATATGTAGCATGTAACATCCATGTTGTTACATATGTGTGGATGTGTGTTCATATATAAAGTAATATTCCATTGTAAGGCTGTACCACTATTTTGTTCATCCAGTCATCCATTGACAGACATTTAGGTTGTTCCCATTGTCTGGCTATGGTGAATAACACTGCTGTGAACATTTGTATACAAGTTTTTATGTGGACATGTTTTTAATTCTCTGGAGCACATACATAGGAGTGGAATTGCTGGGTCATATGTTAACTCTGTGCCTTCCTTTTTGAGGAATTGCCAGACTGTCTTCTAGAACAGCTAGCCTATTTTACCTTCCCAGCAACAATGGATGAAGTCTCTAGTTTCTCCACATCTTCATCAATAGTTGTTATTGTCTTTTTTTTCTTTTTTTTTTTTTAATTGTCACAGTCATCCCAGTGGGTGAGAAGTGGTATCTCACTGTGGTGTTGGTTTCTGTTTCCCTAGTGATGTTGAGCATCTTCTGTATTTATTGGCCATTTGTGTATCTTTGGAGACATGCTATTCAAATCCTTTGCTCATTTTTAAATTGGATATTTTAACTTTCTAACATTGAATCGTAAGAGTTTTTATATATTCTGGATACTAGTTCCTTATCAGATACATGATTTACAACTATTTTCTTCTATTCTGTGTATTGTCTTTCCAGTTTCTTGATGGTGGCCTGTGAAGCACAAAAGCTTTTAGTTTTAATGAAGTCTGAGTTACTATTTTTAGGAGTTTCATAATTTTAGCTTTTACGTGTAGGTCTGTGATCCATTTTTTAGTTCATTTTGTGTTCATTTTGCTTAGTTCATTTACCTTTATTGTTTTGCCCGTGGATATCCAGTTGTCCCAGCACCATTTTTTGTAGAGCCTGTTTTTACCCCAGTGAATTGTTCTGGCACCCATGTTGGAAATCACTTGACCCTAAATATAAGGATTTATCTCTGGGCTCTCAGTTCTGTTCCACTGACCTGTATGTCCATCTTTATGCCAGTACCACAGTGTCTTGAATGAAATTGGAAGTATGAGTCTTCTAACTTTGTGCTGCTTTTATCAACATTGTTTTGACTATTCTCTGTTACTTGTGCTTCCATATGAATTTTAGGACCAACTTGTCAATTTCTGCAAAGTAGTAATCTGGGATTTTGATAAGGATTGCACTGGATCTATAGATCAATTTGGGGAATATTGCAAACTCTACTTTTTTTTGTGATCTCTGGTTTATAAGAAGGATAGTTCCATTCCTAAAAGGCTCAACAAATAGAAAATCCCTAAGTATGTCTTCCATTTTAGGCAACATGTTCAATAAAAATTTCTAGCATTTTATACCTATTTTTATATTTTTTTCCCTTCGCATTTGAAAACACAGTTGTTGAGCTTACTATGTTCATTCATCACCTGGTGAAGCTAAAGATGCCACTCAGGCTTCACTTGGCAGTTTGTCTTTCATAGTATGTTGTAAGACTCACACCTTCTATCACATACAATACAGTTTGACTTTCTCGTTTTCTAATTTCGTTATAAAATATAAAGAGAGGACAGTGCAGTCCTATAGTGAAATAACTGGAGAAGCACATGCTCATGTTCATGCAATGAAGGCGGTCCTGACAAAACAGAAAAATGGGCCCGCAAAGCCTGATGTCAGGCAGGAGCTGGGCATAATTCTTCCCGTGGCCGGTGAGCAGAGTCTATCGGAGAAATGTTCAGAGTGGTGAGGAATGAAGTGTGTGATTCTCAGACAGAGGATGACTTCTGGCAAGTGAGGACTGCCTCGATGTCCAGAACCAGCCCATCCTCACGTAGCTCTCCCACCCTCCCCTCTCTAGCAAGACACGCTGGATGCAGATATCCACATAGAGACGGAGGATCAGGGCATGTACAAGTGCATGTCTTCCCAGCACCTGTTCAAGCTGCTGGACTGCTTGCAGGAGTCCCACTCATTCTCAAAGGCCTTCAACTCCAATTACGAGCAACGGACTGTCCTGTGGAGAGCAGGTAAGGCTACACAGCAGCTAGGACAGGCAGCCACACTGGTCACCATCCTAAAATATTAAAGCCTTTGGGAAACTCCTGATATTTTACACTTAGCTGGAATAACTCGCCAGATATTTTCATGCTTGAGGGGAAAAGAAGGACATGCTGGATACATTCCATCCCAGTACCAGGAATATTGCCTGGCACATGGGAGATTTTCAGGAAGTATTTGATGGAAAAATGAATTGATAGAGCCCTGAACTGATCTAGCAAACCAAGACATTTTACATTACGTTACAATTGTGTAGTTGGGGCGCCTGGGTGGCTTAGTTGGGTAGCATCTGCCTTCGGCTCAGGTCATGATCCCAGCATCCTGGGACCCAGCCCTGCATCGGGCTCCCTGCTCAGGCGGAAGCCTGCTTCTCCCTCTCCCACTCCCCCTGCTTGTGTTCCCTCTCATGTTGTCTCTCTCTCTCTCTATTAAATAATAAAATATTTTAAATAAATAAAATTGTGTAGTTAAATATGATGATATAAAAATTGTGGTAGTCCTGGAGAAACAGAAAGCATTCATACATTTGCTGAGGCTTTTAGGGGTTCTCTGTCTTTACCACCTCCAAAAATACATACATAAACCCTGGAGGTAAGTGATATATGCAAGGTGACAGTGGGAGTCTCATTTTGTGAACTTTGCACAAAAGTGATACTTTATATAATTTTTGTATTGTTACCATTGCTGGGTAACCATTAATTTTCTTCCCAAATGCTATTTTAATCCACAATTTCATAATGTCATTTTTCTTTATGGCTTTAACATGTCTAGATGTTTGTTTGTTGTTGTTTTTTTTAAGATTTTATTTATTTATCTGACAGAGAGAGAGAGCCAGAGAGCACAAGCAGAGGAAATGGCAGAGGGAGAGGGAGAAGCAGGCTCTGCACTGAGCAGGGAGCCTGATGCGGAACTCGATCCCAGGACCCTGGGATCATGACCTGAGCCGTAGGCAGACGCTTAACTGACTGAGCCACCCGGGCACCCCATGTCTAGATGTTTTATGCCTTTGCCTGTGATAAGGTTTTGCTTGTGAGAGTGGTTTACACATCTCTGTGGCTGATTAGTACTGCTTTGTTTAAGAAAATGTGATTAAGAGTAATGTTATATGTCAATTATACTTCACTTGAAAAAAAGAATGTGAAATACTTCTTTCAGTGTTCCCTAAAGTAACTAGATTAGGTTCCTGCATGATTTCTCAGCATTATCCTAGAAGTGTGCGTTGTTTACATGACTGTCTAATCTCTAGGTTTTAAGGGCAAATCTAAACCTAATCTTCTAAAACAAGAAACCAGCAGCCTGGCCTGTTGTTTGAGGATCCTGTTTCGGATGTATGTCGACGAGAACCGCAGAGATTCCTGGGAGGAAATACAGCAGCGACTTTTAACGTAAGAAGATTGGTTTCTTTTTTTTTTTTTAAAGATTTTTTATTTATTCATTTGACAGAGATAGACACAGCGAGAGAGGGAACACAAGCAGGGGGAGTGGGAGAGGGAGAAGCAGGCCTCCCGCAGAGCGAGGAGCACGATGCGGGGCTCGATCCCAGGACTCTGAGATCATGACCTGAGCCGAAGGCAGACGCTTAACGACTGAGCCACCCAGGCGCCCCAGAAGATTGGTTTCTGATTAAATGTCTTATCCATAAAACACAAAATGCATCACAGTAATACTGTGAATTGAAACGAATAAGAGAAAAATACCTATGTGCTGACACTCTCACAAGCTGCTTTCCTTTTTGCTTCTTCCTTCTATTTGCTGACACTTGTATTTCACTTTTCTTAATGCCCTGAATAGGGCAGGACCTCATTTCTTTCAGAAGTTTCTTAAGGCACAGAAACACGGACAATAAAAAGTCCTGAGAGCTCAGAATCAGCAGGCCTAGAGTGAAGTCCCTTTAGGGTGATGTCAGCTCTAACCTCCAACCCTCTCTCCTTCCCAAGAGGAATGTATTGGAATCATGTGGATTACCAGGGTGTCCTGACTTGGATTATGCAGAAATGCAGCAATGGGGAGACAGTGGGATGGCATGGAGAGAGCCTCAGACAGAAAAGTGATCTTCGCCACCCAGCTCCCTGTGAGCAAGATGCTATGCCTAAGCTCTTTTCACTCTTTCAAGACTTAAAAACATGCAGTGTTGACAGCCATGTGATAAGACATGCACTCTCCTGCACTGCTAGTAGGGATGTACAGGGAGGGGATTTTTCCGGAAAGCAGATGGCATTAAAATCAGGAGCCTTAAAATGTTCAGTTTCTCTCTTTTGACACAGTAATCCTACTGGTATGGAATCTACTTAAGAAAATGTCTTAAGGGGCACCTGGGTGGCTCAGTTGGTGGAGGATGCAGCTCTCCATCTCAGGGTCGTGAGTTTCAGTCCCTGCGTTTCAGCCCCACGTTGAGGGTGGAGATTACTTTAAAAGAAGAAAAAGTAGCAATCCTATGTGACAGGAGAAGAGAGAGAAAGGCAGTGTGTAGTCAACTCTGGATGATCGGCTCTGTGTTCATTGTGTGGCAAACGCTGACTGGGCCCAAAGCTGTGAGCAGGCCCTGGGCTAAGCAAACATTCAACACGCTGGTTTCATTTAAACTTCACAGCAGTGCCCTGGGTTTGGTACAATTATTTATCCCTGTTTTACAGTCGAGGAAACTGAGACTTAGTGATTTGCTCCAGATGGCATAGTACTTATTTACTTGTTGCAAGAACAAAGAGTTCTCCACTGCAGTAGAATGAGAGAGGTTAATGTGTTTGACGTGTCTCCCCCTCTCTTGATTTGTCTAGCGTGTGCAGTGAGGCCCTTGCCTATTTCATCACAGTGAATTCTGAGAGCCATCGGGAGGCCTGGACAAGTCTTCTGTTGTTACTTCTAACAAAAACCCTCAAAATAAACGATGAAAAGGTAAAACCAGGAAACTCTAATGTCCTCACTAGGACCTAGGTTTGGGTTCCTTTTTACTCAATTTAAAGTAACGATTTCCTCATTTCTTCCAAGGATGGTTACATAACTAGCACCATTCTAGATTCATTAGAGGACAGTTCATTCATTACAGACAAGGATGCCGTAGCATACTAGGGCGCTCTCTCTCTCTCTCTCAAAGAACCCCAGTTGAGAAAGGCTGATGTTGAAACCACGCACGTAGTAGTTAAACTGCTGCAGGGGTTTTGAGGGCAGCTGTGTTGGAAAAGAGGGTCCAGATAGTGAAACCCTGGTTCAGAAGGGGAATCTGCTTTGCTAAAATGAACGTTGACTTTGGCAGCAAAGCCGTCCCCAAAGAATTTGTGTTTGGAGTTAAACATAACTAAAAGACATTCTAATTTGCAAATTTTTCCTACCAACTTTTTAAACAGCAAGTAAAAGCACCAATATTGCAAGAAGTTCCAGGGTGAGATGAACTCTTTTGAGAAACTAGTGCCAGAAAAAGTAGCTCCCTGTCTAATTTGATCTCTCCCCTTCTCTCCCACCTCAAGTTTAAAGCACACGCTTCTATGTACTACCCCTACTTGTGTGAGATTATGCAGTTTGACCTGATTCCTGAGCTCCGAGCAGTTCTGCGCAAGTTCTTCCTGCGGATAGGTGTTGTCTATAAGATATGGATTCCGGAAGAGCCATCACAGGTACCAGGGACACTGTCCCCAGTATGGTAGCCCTGGCCCCTGTGGGCCCCTGCTGCAGCTCTGCAGAACGTTCACCACGCCACCTCTGCCTGGCACATGTCGTGGAGGATCAGATCATAGAAACAGGGAGTCGGCATCTGGGAGCTCAGAATGGCCTGGAGGAAGCTGGCCTCGACGAGGGTCCCACAGTCCCTGGCTGAGACGTTGTGCTGTTTCATTAAAGTGTTGCATACCCAGTTAACACAGTAGGTGGGGAGTCTGTTTCATCTCTGTCATTCCGTCTTCCTGACTAAACTGTCAAGCCTGTCGCCACACATACGCCATTTCCTAGCAGAGTCCCATGATTGGCTGTATGCGTTCTGTCGGAGGAAGTTGCTTTCCTTGCAAATACTGAGCATAGCTGTAGAGGTTCGTGATTATTAGAGAGTATGTTAATAAAATTTCTTGTAACGGCTAAATGCCGCCTAAAATATGCTGGACTTTTTGTTGTCGTTTGAGTGTGTTGGAGAATTTTGAGTGTTTTTGTGAGTCAGCTGTAGTTAGATTAGTTCGGAGAAAGTTAGTGGGAAAAAGCATTGTTTTTGTTTTGTTTTGTTAATGTCTGAGTGATTTTTAAAGTACTTTATGAAAAGCTACTATTGAAGATTTCATTGAAAGCAGAGTTTAGTAATTAAGTTAGAATTAAGAGCTTGCAAGGTTAAAAAATAAAAAAAGGTAGTGCTTCCTGGCTCTCCCTGTTTTAGTAACCTGGGGAGAAAAAGTCTATAGGAAAAAGTAAAAAATGTAATGAAGACGGTTAGCCTTCCTTGGAAAGTAAGTATTTGTGGATGGGTATGAAAATTTCCAGAATACGTTGTCCATCTCACACCCTCTGAAATCTAATATATGAAGTAGTAACAAAAATGAAGTAATTTAACAGAGTTAATTTATATTTGAGTAAACCTTTTATTTTTACCTCAGAATAGTGAGTTTAGTGTCCCTGCTTTGCACAGTCTCCGTTCAAGGGCCCTCCAGAGAGGGATGGCGGCTGTGCGGGAGAAGGGCCGACTGCGAAACTCCTCAGCCACACGTCATGAGTCCTTGATCCAGAGTCGGCCTGTGCTGTGGTGGGGCCAGCACAGCTGAACTGTGACTGTGGCGGGAGATGGCCTGTGCCCAGGTGCTGCCATGAACTCGAGCCTCAGAGCTGCATTCTTTGGAAGGGTTGGATTCTGGGGGCCCTTACTGTGTTAATAAAGGTGCCGTAGTCGTAACTGCAATTAGAACTGAATCCTGATGCAGCGGCTTATGTAAAGGATTGCAACAAACCGGGCCTGACGCCTGCAAGCAGTCTGTTTGGAAGCTTGCTTTATTCTGAGTCGGTGAGAAAGAGAACACGAACACACGCTTCACTCCGCCCCCTCACTCAGGGCTCCCCGAGAGCCGCCCTCAGCAGTAAAACCAGTGTTACACGGAGTCATTAACACATTCAGACTTCTGCCTATGCCCTTCAGTCCTGGAAATTGGGTTGCATGGGTGTCAACTCTGGTGCCTTAGAAGTTAGCGAGTTGGGAACCGATCTAAAATCGGGTATTTTTTCTTTATAGAGAAGGATTTCTGGTGCTTTTGTTTCCTAAGAAACCAATTTCTTAAATTTGTTTGTTTGTTTTTAACAGCTTTGAGGAATGTTTGGTTTGGGCCAGCAGTACTCTATTTTTTGTTCTTTCCCCAAAGTATTTTAATTTCTCTACCAAAGAAAAAAAGAGCCGGTTTAGGTTTTTATGTTACTTACATACATATTAGAGAAGAGGAGCTATATAATTTAGGAGGAAGGGACCACGGGCGAGTATTTGATTGTGAATAGAAAACGTCAGCACCTTTGACTTACCTTGTCCTGGAATGCATTCCGTCTTTATGCTGCAGCCGAGGCTCCTTCCCTGGGACGGTGGTCGGCCACAGCCTCAACACGTCCGTGCTCTCCATCCACATTTGTCCTGATGGCACGCGCAGGAATGTGCCGCTGTGTCCCCGACTGGAGACTTTTCCTTTCCTTCTGAGGTTCTCATGTGCCGTTTTCTTCAACGGTGACCCCGCCGCCGGTGTCTTGCTGCTGCCTCTTTCGTTCTTGCCACCTCTTGCAGAGCGGGAAGTGTGTGAGCGCATTTTGTTCCGTGCCCAAACATTCAGCTTTGTGTTTTGTTTTGTTTTGTTTTTAACTTTGTCTTTTAAAAGTTTGGATTTTCTGAATGAGGCATTTGAATCGTACCGGCATGGACCTTTTAAAAACCGGGATGTCAAACCATTTGGGGTAAATTTTTCTTGCCGGTGGCCCGTGACATACAGAGGAATTCCTTACCTCTACTAATAAGCCATTCAGCCTAAATTCTACTTTGTGAATAAATCTATTCTATCTCATGGTAAACGTGGCTTGTGCCACTCAAAAACTAGTGGGAAGAGTGTGTGTGACTGCAGCCCCGGGCCAGGACGCCATTCACTAACAAAGTTAGAGAAGATGGAGCATTTCCAAGGCCTTATTTCTTTGTCAGGATGCTTTAAGTGTGATTATATGTGCTGGGTCTCTAGAGAAGTTTTTGTTACAACACTGCTACTTTGAGCAATTTTGTTTTTCTGCACTGTCCTTGAGGGAAATCACCAGCTCTGGCATCTTAACAACAAACGGTGGATGGGAAATCTGTTTCTAATATGCATCTTTAGAGTCAAATACACCTTTTTCCTGTTACTCCTCATGTACAACCAAAGAACTACATTATGGAAATTGTATCATAATATCTGGAAACACAGCATTTTCCTCTGACAGGTGACTTTTGTACAAAATGAAAAAAAAAAAAAAGCTAGACCTTTTTGTTGTTCTTTTGCGATTACAGCTCTCCATTTCGTAGTCTTTATAGTTATTGAAGGAACCTGCTGATAGAGGCAAGTACGACCGTCCTATTCAAATGTTTGTTGTTACGATGCAAATGGATATTGGTTGAGACAGAAGCTAGATCCTTACTACTGCATTCTCTGAATTCTGTTTTAACATTTGTGTTAAAGTAGACATAGCTTGAACTCATGTGAAATCGTGGAGTTTTGCTATCAGCAGCTTTGCAGTTGGAGAAACAAAGAAACCAAAGCTGAATATTTAAAAGAATGAATCTATCTGGAAATCCTTGCTCTCAAAAGAAGACACTCATCAGGTGTAGTTTTTCTCAGTGTTCTAATTTTTAAAAAATTTTATCTTCATATTTGCATCAAATATTTCTTTATGTGCACAATGTATGTTTTACCTCCTTAAAATGCCTAAAAGTTAGTTTAGCTACCTTTGTTTAATCTATACACGATGATTAAGTGCATTTAATATTGGTAATTTAATGAAAAGCATTCCTTGCCCAATGGATGTATACATTTTTGAAAGAATAAGCCGAATTATATAATATGAAATGCTATGTAAAGTTTTCTATGTAAAAATATTATGTATAATACTGTTAAAATCCCATGCTTTAATCAGGTGGTAAATCAATAATAAAGTTTTAAAAAGTAAAGCTGTTTTTAATATAGTAATTTATATGTATATGTATATATATCAAGCTATAGTTTTGGGTACATTTATTCTTATGGCAGCTACAAGCTTGTAGCTCTCAATTGGTAGTAAAATTTGGCCTCAATAGTTAAAAATAATTTCTAGGGGCGCGTGGGTGGCTCAGTTGTTGGGCATCTGCCTTCGGCTCAGGTCATGATCCCAGGGTCCTGGGATCGAGCCCCGCATCGGGCTCCCTGCTCAGCGGGAAGCCTGCTTCTCCCTCTCCCACTCCCCCTGCTTGTGTTCCCTCTATTGCTGTCTCTCTCTCTCTGTCAAATAAATAAATAAAATCTTAAAAAAAAAATAAATAATTTCTAATGGGAGAATATTAATTGTGGGTTTTAATAATTTAAATAAGGTTCCCTTCTTCCCCCTCCCTCCCAATGAAAGGGGGGAAAAAATCCAGTCACGAGAAGATTCTTATTTATCTCTTGAACTCACTTTAACTCATTAATTAGTTTGACCAGTGGGTGAGTTCCCAAAAGAAGACAACAGTCTCCTCTTGCTGGTGTTGAGGGCAGGTTTGCAAAGGAAGACTCATAGGTAGCCAACTTGGACACTGAGTGGAAGGCAATTCTAAGGTTCACAAAGGGTGCCAACCTAGGAAGACGTGGCTTGGCTTTACTGCCTCTGAATTCAGAATCCATTCTTTCTGAAATATCCTAAAATTGTAAATCACCATTGTACTTAAAATACTCCCCTGCTGAAATTTACTCATACTCTTTCATCTTTATTAATTTATTGGAATAAAACGGTGACTCTCTGTGGTCCCACATATCAGGTGCTTCCAGTGAAGAACAAAAGGAGTGTCTGGGTTTTATCTAGCACAGTGTTTTTCAACCTGCTGCCAACCAGGAGTTTTCCGTCCTGTCCCCAGGGGGCAGTTGGGACACTTGGCAATGTCTGGAGACATTTTGGGTTGTCATGGCAGGAGGGGGGTGGGTAGGATGCTGCTAAACAGCCCCCACCAGAGTTACCCAGCCTCAAGGTCTAATTGGTGCTGAGGTTGAAAAACCCTGAACTAAATTGACTCTGAGTCTAACAAGGCTTCTTTAGTGTGGTGTTGTAGGACCCAAGAGTCTGTCTGTGGCAGATACTGTCAGCCTTCTTTGGCCTTCCTGTCTAAAAAAAAAAGGTCACTTCTGCTTACCCATTTTAGAAAGGAGGGCATGCTGAGGTTGAGGAAGGACCAACTTCATGTTATTTATTTAAAGTGCTATTAAGCATTTGCACGGTAATTTCATCATGATGCTGCATCTGTACCCTCCCTGCCCACAGACTGGAACACATTTTAGGCAAAAGTACATTTTCTTTTTCAAAGGACCAGATAGTTCCCTGGAATTTTTGCAAAGCTGTGTAACATGCCTGTGGTCCAGTTCAAGAAACCTGCTAAACTGTCCTTGAGTTAGTCATTTGTGTCACATCTTAGGAGTGGCCAGCTTAATTAATGCAATGACGTACCTGCAGCAAAAGAAGAAGGGGTGAGGGCTCCCTAAGGATTCTGGCAGAAATGACTTTAGTCTAATTTTTACACATGTCTGTTTCCAGACACAAGCCAATCTTATCTGGTGCTCAACTGAAGATTGAGCCTTTGCAGATAATTTTTATATAAGTCAGTTTTCATCTTTCCCAGAGACTCCCCATCTTTGCATAAAGCTTCTATAGCTTCTTCTTCACTGACCTAATTTAGATTTGTTTAAAGAATGTATCTTGATTTATGTTCAAGAAGCACCATGTGTTCTCGTAAACTTCTTAGCTTGAGTGACTTTGAGCTTAAATAATGGCGTATTGATTTTTTTGTCCAGAGTGCTATGGGTTTCTGAGAAGCAAGCAAAAACCAAGCACCATTCTATAGGAGAGGACAGTGGACAGATCACAGAAGCTGGAATGAAGAACGCTTTGTACAGAAGGATTTGTGCTAACTTTCTGCCCCTTTTTGGGCATCAGCAATAAGCAGGCTATTAATGTCACTTTTTAAAGAACTAACATTTACTGATAGTTTACCACACTGCAGACGCCTTACTTTGCATACAGGAAATCCTTTAAACTTCACAGCAACTGTATGAAATAGATAGCATTAGACCTCCATTTTTTTAAGTGTATTTATTTATTTATTTACTTTAACAATCTCTACACCCACCATGGGGCTCCAACCTATGACCCCAAGATCAAGTCGCATGCTCCACCGACTGAGCTACCCAGGCGCCCCAAGTGTCCGACTCTTGATTTCAGCTCAAGTTGTGATCTCCGGGTCATGAGATCAAACCCCACATCGGGCTCCACACTCAGCCATAGAGTCTGCTTGGGATTCTCTCTCCCTCTCCCTTTACCCCTCCCTTTTGTGCTCTCTCTCTCTCTCTCTAAAATAAATATGGGCACCTGCGTGGCTCAGTCGGTTAATGGTCTGCCTTTGGCTCAGGTTATGATCTCAAGGTCCTGGGATTGAGCCCCACATCGGGCTCCCTGCTCAGCGGGAAGTCTGTTTCTCCCTCTCCCTCTGCCCCTCCCCCTGCTCCTGCTCTCTCTCTCTCTCTCTCTCTCTCTCAAATAGATTAATAAAATCTTTAAAAAAAAAACTAAATCGTTAAAATAAATACATAAATAAAAGTTATATGTCAAAATAGTAAGTGTTTGAAAACACATTCCATCCTCCTTCCTTGACAAATAAAACCTTTGCAATATCTGGAAGTCAAACTGCATTCTCAGGCTCCTCAGAGTTCCAGGCCAGAACACAGCAGCATGGGAAGAAATCAGTCCTTGTCCTGCCCCCTTTCTCTCCTCACCCCAAGCCTCAACCTGTACCACAAGGCTTTGAACGTGTGCGCGTGGATATGCAGCTCTGTCCGAACCCCCTGCAAACACATCTGTCCCCAAGTCACACTGCCAGTGTAGGGGTGCTCACAGCTGCTGTGTATCTGCTCTCAGGAGCGACCCAGCCAAGGGATTTCTACAGCCCCTGGAAGAGGGCTTGGGGCTTGTTGGTGAGGAATTCCAGGGTCTTATGCAAACCAGAACGAGGTCTGAAAGGAGGTGATAAGGGTTTTGGGTGAGCACGCCCACTGGGCGTATGGACCCCTCACCTGTGGGCAGCTGGAGCGGGACCAGAGCCACACCCTCTAAAGCATAAGGGCCAAGGCAAGTGTCCAAAGGCCTGTCCAGGTCTACAGCAGTACCACCTAGGAAAATGCAAGACTGGGGACAATGGGACGACGTCAAAAATACACTGCCTCCCCGTCTCGAGTTGGAGATAAGAGCTAACAGCGTTGGACAGTTACTATTTTTCAGATGCTCTTCCATGGGCCTCATCTTTCCTGGCTCTGTCATCTGCCCAGACCCACTGAGAGGCAAATTACTATTACCATCACTCCTGTAGAGATCAGACAGCTCAATTTTAAGTAACTTGCCCGGTGTCATAGAGATGGCGTGAAGGTCTTAACCTGGGTAGTCATGCTCTTTTTTTTTTTTTTTAAGATTGTATTTATTTATTTGACAGCACAGCACAAGCATGGGGAGTGTCAGAGGGAGAGGGAGAAGCAGGCTTCCCGCTAAGCAGGGAGCCCAATGCGGGGCTTGATCCCAGGACCCTGGGATCATGACCTGAGCTGAAAGCAGACACACCCAGGCGCCCCCATGCTCTGAACTAGTATGATACAACAGGATCAAAGCAGAGTGACAGTAAAGATCTGGTAAAAGATATGTCAATTCTATCTCAATAAAGCAGGGGGGTTAAAAAGATATGCCAGGAAATTGTTAACCAAAAGAAAGCAGGTCTAACAATATTGATTCAGACAAATAGAATTGGAAGAGGAGAGGTCTGAAAGGACCAAAGAGGAATATTTCACATCGTCAGATGGTAGACAGACTTCCTCCGGAAGAAATGGCATGAACCTAATCTACCTAATAGCTTCAAAACATACAACAAAAGACAACTGAGTACACTTTAACAATGACAAAGCCAGAATCATGGTGGGAGACCAACATGCCTCTCAGAGAACATCTAGTAAAGCACAATTAAAAATAAGGACATAGAGAACATAATATGTTACCTACAGTGAATGTCCTAATTAGCGAAAGACCAAATCCTCTCATGTTTGTCCCGTGTGAATTTTTCACCATGTGCACATTAGCAGTTGTAGCAAACCTGGGAGTGTGTGGACGGGATGGGCTGGTGGGGGAGGGGGGCGGGTGGGTAGAGATTCCCAAGGGAGCCTTCAGGTATCACCCATGGAGACTGGAGAAGGAGGCCATACCGACCTTTCTGTGACCCTCACCTGTGTGGTTCTTCTTTCAGCTGCAAAGGGCGAGGGGAGTCGGCACCACTAGAGCTGTGTCCACAGACATTATAACCTTGGCACACTCAGGGCTTCCTGCAGAACCTGGTAGAGATGCTAGACCTACAAGTGTATGCCAGCCAGCCTCCTTCGTGATTAGCTCTCAGAGATGGAAAACTGTTAAATCATCAGGGTTGTTCTCACCGGGATTGGAGGAAAATCTTCGTCTAGGAAAGCAGATTAGTATGATCTTAGTATGATCAAGATTACTTGTGCTATTGCTGCAATGGTAAAAATACATCTTTTCCACCAGTGTCCTTAATAACTTATACCTTTCTCAATGGACTTTATTTATATAGGGAATTTCATTCATCATTCAATACTTATTGAGCAGGTACTGTGTGCTCGGTGCTGGGGGGACAGCTGTAAGTAAGATAAATAAGGTCCTTGCTCTAATAGAGTCCTTAAGCTGATGGTGGGGAGAGGAATTAACAAAGACAATTGCAAAGAATGATAAATGCTGTGAAGAAAACAATGATATATTGAGGCTAAGCTTGCCAGATAAAATACAGGACACCTGAGTCAATGCGAATTTCAGATAAACGATGTATGATCTTTTAGAAGTATGTCCCATGCAATATTTATATTAAAAAGTCATGCATTGCTTTTCTGAGGTTCATATTGAACTGGG